AGCCATTTTACCGATTGTTCTAAAACAATCCGTGACTTCCCTAGATTCCCCCATCTTCCTCCCCACACTCCTGCTCCATTCTCAGCAGAAACTGCTGGCTCGTTGTACTCTGTCAAACGCCTTGGTAGACCAACATGTTATATAAAGTAGAACCCAACAGCTGTCTTTTGTGTCTGGTGGATTTACTTACTACAATGTTTTAACAAAGCCTATTTAAGTGAACTAAAAAAAAAAAAATCATGGGGATCCCTCATTATCAAGAGAGAAGGAAAATAAATACCCACAAAGTATGTTTGAAGTGACAACATGACATAAAAATAATCATTTGTTCACAGAAGTGGTTTCCCCTCATTGTAGTGCGTATCTGTGTTCTGTTTCTTTTTGTTGCAAAATAGCATCTAATTCAATGGCTATCTGATAGTTCTCTGTACATTTCCAATCAGTAAATGTTTCAGTTCCTTTCCGTTTGGGCTGTTATAATGAGGCTATGAATATTCGTTTACAAGTTTCCATGTAGACAGCTAATTTGATTGTCAACTGCCCACAAACATGTGGCTTACTTTTTAGAGTATCAATTTTGTTTAAGTGCGCTCAGATTTTCAGCCTGATATTTGTGGGGTAGAGTGGCTCAGTCTCAGAAGGCCCTTCAGGTGATGCATCCCCACAGCAGGCACCAGCAGCGGTGCACACCAAAACACTGAGCAGGGGGAATTGGCTCCTGCTAGTGTGGAGGCTATTAGCAGGGCAGGAATCCAGAGACAGAGATTCTGGAAGGTCCTGAGTATGAGCCGCTGCTGCTGTCCAAAATGAGGGTTTTTTCTGTTTATGACCAAAATCCTGGGCCTAACTATATGGTCTTCCACGGGCCCAGACATGTCTCCCAGCATTGTCCCTCCACTTTGCACAATCTCTCTATCCTTTTAAATCTGTCCCATCAATGTCTCACCTTCCAAGTAGGAAGAGATTTAGTCTCTAGGTTTATCTTCGCTTCTCCTCTCTTGTCCATTTTTGTCTTCTGTCTTCCCTGCTGCATCTGTCTTGTCCGGTTGGTTGGCATGTGGGACTTACATTATCAGGCTAGGATCATTTGATTGCTAGGTGCAGCGGCCTTCCCTGTCAATCACACGTGGTAGCAGTGCTGCTCATCTTTTGAAGACTCAGCTCGAGGTTTCATGGTCTGTTGTTGCTCATCTGCTTCTGTTCTTTAAGATTTGCTCTGCAAGTTTGGGACCAGGCCGTTCCCTTCTAGAGTTTGAGGCTGGGAGACAGGCCCTTGCTTCTGAGGCCTCTCTCGCTTCCTGCTGCTGGTACTTCAGTGGTCCCTCCCAGGCAATTCAGAATGCCTTTGTTCTTTGCACTCTTCTCTGACACGTGGGCTTTTCAGAATTGTGTTCAGTTTTAAGTCTGCATTTTGCCAAGCATCTTCTGTTGCACTCTTTAGTTCTCTAATTTAATTCTGGTTCAGCACGCAATCCAACTCAGAGAATGTGGTATGTGCATTTGAACAGCCCTGCAGTCTTTGGCTGAAGTGTCTGCCAGGCCAGGCTGGTTCAGAGAGCTGTTGAAGTCTTGCATATTCCTGTTGTCCTGCGTTGTTCTTCTGTTGTATAATGTGCGCAAACAGTTGAAATCACCCAGCAATGCTGCTCAATTGCTCATTTCTTCCTCCTGTACTTTGAGGTCCAGATGTGAAATGCATATACGTTTTGGTTACTCTACCTTCTTGGACTTCCTGGGATTACAAGGTAACCCTTCATTCTTCACTAATTTTTCTGGTTTGATGTTGTAACCAACCACTGAGCTCTCTCAGTATCTTTTCTCATAGGATCTTTTCAGTCCCTTATTCACTTATAACTGTTTACATCTTGGAGTCTACAGTATACCCGTATATAGAATATAGCTGTCCCCTTTTCTCTTCAACTTGACAAACTATGACTTCTAAGAAAGGTGTTCAGTTTGTCCAGGTGGCTGTACCTACTGATACCATTGCATTAAGTAATGGGCTACAATTAGACAAAGAGTTAAGTGTGAATTTCAAAAGGTTTACTTTATAAGGGAAAAAAATAACTGATAAATTGTACTTCAACAAAACAAAATTTTTGATTTGTGAAATTATTGTTGGGGAAATGGCAATCGTGAATCACAGACTCCGCCCAGTCTGTTTTCTCCCAAGTAGTTTCAAACAGCACACTTAAAAACATGACGGGAGCCAAGGCCAGCTAGTGGAAAGTTACAGACAGCAACAAGGTTGTGGGGGAGAGATTTATGTTTCCAGAACTTATGAGACATCTGTTCCTCAGGCTAGACATTTTGTGATATCTTAGCTGACATTCTTGTAGTATCTCTCGTGGTAATAGTAAACATTCTTGAGGTATTCTGCATCATCCTCCACCATGTTATCTTTTGTATTGTAAACTACTTTGCTGACACATTTTCCCTTTCTGCCTTCTCCCTATAAAGTTGTGTGAAAATTTTCAAATAAACGAGAGCTAGATCAGATGATAGACTTGCTCTCATTCTGTGTGTCTCTTGTCTTGTTCTACCTATTCATTTTGCCCCTCCTTAGGAACCCATTGAACTCCCACTGGATGGGACAAAAACAAATTCGTATCTGGAAGGGGTAAAGATATTTTAAACTCAATAATTACAAAAAAATATAAATATCTAGTTAGAAAATAAGCAAAAGATACAAGCAGACCTTGTAGATGCAGAGTGAAGCACACAATAGGATGCCGTGTGGCCATCATAAAGTGCAGAGCAAAGAAACAGCTGAGTGCCACTGTCCCCATCGGAGCAGCTGCACTGAAAATGGCAATGGTGCACAAGCTGCCAGAAGTGTGGATGAGATTGCCACTAGCAAAGCTTTAAAAAAAAAACCTACATGTGCAATTGCCAAACACACAGCAGTGTCTACTCCCTTATCCCAGAGAAATGAAAAGTTATGTTCCCCCAAAACTATCTCCATCAAGGTTTATAGTAGCTTTATTTATAATCACCCCCAAATTGGAAATGACCCAGAGCAAATGAAATAAACTCTGGAACAGCAAATTCGGGTTTCTGTGCTGTGATAAATACCATGAACAAAGCAGCATGAGAAAGAAAGGGTTTATTTCAGCTTAGATCTACACACCATCATCAGGGCAGAAACTGGATCCCAGAGGCGAGAACTGAAGCAGAAACCATGGAGGGCCTCCACTCACTCACTGGCTTGCTTCTCGTGGCTTACTCTGTCTGCTTTCTTTTCTTTTTAACTTTTATTGGTTCTTTCGAAATTTTACATCATGTACCCCAATCCCACTCATCTCCCTATCCCTGCCCTCACCTCATGCAACCCCTCCCCCCAGAAAAAAATCTCATGGTGGAAGCTGTAATGTGTCACAGTATGACCCACAGTATACTCATCTGTCCTCATTTCTGTGCTTGTAAAGAAATGTTCATTGCAATGAATCATTGGACTGAAGCCTCGGGCTTCTGCTACACTATTAATACAGGAACCTCACTGGGACTCCTCTCAGATATCCTATTGTTGCCCTGTGTCATGGAGATCCTGTAGTTTTGTATCTGTAGGACTGGCCCCTTCATGCACTCCAGCATCAATGGGGTAGATGTTAGGACTGGCCAACTCAAAGCACTGAATATAGGCCTGAGAGCTATCTGAGCTGGTCAGCCTGCTAGCTCTCCTGATCTCATGCCCTTGGGCTGGCTCACCTGCAGTCCCCACAACCAGGGCCAGCTCTGCCCTGCTGCCCAGGCAAGGTGCAGGGCCCTCCCTCCTGAGTGTCACAGCTGATGAGGGACATGGCCAGTTCTCCCACTCTCATGACCTCAGGGCCATCTCTGCTGCCTGCCATAGGTGAGGGAGGGAAGAAGAGTGTCTTTCTTATCAGAGCCACAGCAGACAAGAGGTAGGACCAGCTCTCCCACACTCATGTCCTTGAGGCCTGGCTCACCTATAACCCCTACATCCAGGGCCAGCTCTCCTATTCTGTCCAGGTGAGGGGCAGGGCCAGCTCTCCTGAGTGCTGCAGTAGGTGAGGGGCAGGGCCAGCTCTCCTATTCTGTCCAGGTGAGGGGCAGGGCCAATTCTCCCAAGGGCTGCAGTAGGTGAGGGGCAGGGCCAGCTCTCCTGAGTGCTGCGGTAGGTGAGGGGCAGGGCCAGCTCTCCTGATCTCATGATCCCAGGGCCAGTTCTCCCACCTGCCACAGGTGGTGAAAGATGATGGGGGAGGAGGGTATCTCTACCTTGTTCATACCACTGCATGGTAGGGCCAGCTCTCCCATGCTCATAGTCTCAGGGCCGGCTTACCCAAACCTCTCCTAAATAGCTCTCTAGGGGCAGAGTCAACTCTCCTGCTCTCATGATCCCAGGGCCAGCTCTCTCATGATGCCCAGGTGAGGAGTGGGGCCAGTTTTGTACATCCCTCAGACATTAACATGTCCCTGGGTGGCAGCCCACACCAGGAGTGTATACCTAGCCTTTGCTGGTAAGAGACCCCTGTTGCTGTAGGGCAATGGTCCCCAGTGGCAGCACAGGCCAGGATCCTACCATGGTCCCACCACGTGACATCGCTGGCTACTCATATCAGGCTGTTCCTCACTACCCTCCAGTCTCTAGTTCTGCCTTTCTTCACTGTGTCCACATCTTTCTGTTTCTCTTTCTCTTCCATTTCTCCTCCACTTGCTTGCTCCTCCCAGTGATGCCCAGGGTGTCTGAATGTCTGGGGTCATATCAAGACACATTCATGCATTAAGATGTTGGGCAGGAGTCATCTCACACATGGTCTGCCCCTCCCCCAAGCCTTCACAGCATGGGACTCATGAGGCTCATTCCTCACTGGGGCCCTCCTGAGCAGTCCCATGAGAGGGTTGTTTATTGGGCTGACTCCTGCCAGGGTCCTGTGGTCCCAGGAGGGGTTCTTCTAGTCTCTGGCTTGCTGGGAGACCATCCAGACCTATGAGGTGCCTGACTGGTGGTCATCTCAGGCTCGCTTTTCTCAGGCAATGTTAGGCTAGTAATCATTCAGGTGCTCACAGGTCAGAACACTATACATAGGCACAGCCTCCCTCCTCCCTGCCACCTACTGCTGCACATGTGACACAGCAGCCACACCTGCAGTGCCTCTGGGGCAGGCAATCTGCTTCCCAGGCCTGGCACAGTCAGTGAGCTGAGCCCTCCCACAACAATCATAAATCAAGGAAATACCCCTCAGGCTTACCCATGGACCAACCTGATGAAGCACTTTCTCAGCTGAGGTTCCCTCTTGCTAGATGATTCTAGCTTATGTCAAATTGAAAGAGAGAGAGAAGAAAGAAAGAGAGAGAGAGAGAGAGAGAGAGAGAGAGAAGGAAGGAAGGAAGGAAGGAAGGAAGAAAAGAAAGAAAGAAAGAAAGAAAGAAAGAAAGAAAGAAAGAAAGAAAGAAAGAAAGAAAGAAAGCACATTGTCAAGAAACTACCACAATGCCAACAAAGCTATAGCTTTACCCTACAACTTGGGTGGGTTGTGAGTTCATTCTGCTTTGTGAAGAAAAAAGTAATTTCAAACAGTAACATGCATCATGTTTCCTCTGCTCGTGGGCCTGGTCTGCAAACGCGGCAGGCAGTCTCTTCACAGATCATAAGCACAGTGACAGGCAGATGCACGCTAGACCTGCTCAAGCTGAAGAGCACAAGCCTTCCTAGAGCACCACTCCATACATAGACAGACAGCAGCTGCTTTGTTTTCTCCCCTGACCTCTGTGGACCTCTGACCTTGACTCTGATGCATGCAGAGATAACATTTAGCAACTCAGAGGAAAAAGACAAACCTTAGGAAGAAATGTTACCTTCAGATGAAAATTGAACTGTAGATGAATATATAGACTGGTTAAGTTTTAGTGTGTGCTTTGAATGTGAGTTTTAGTTTTAACTTTTTATTCCGAATTGATTATACATCGCCAGGCGGCTTAAAAAAATAGTGCATACAGACTCCTGTATCATGCAGGCAGCTCCTCTCTGTGAATTATGCCTTACATAATTCTAGCATAACATTATGGGAAACAAGCAAATTGATAATTTTTAACCAGACTATTGATTTTATTTGGTGTTCACTGGTCTTTACACATACTTGTGCTTGTGTGTTCAAGTGTGTGCCTCTATTCAATTTGATTCAAGCATAGCTTTGTATAACCTTGCACCAGCCAAATGCAAGAGTGTTCTGACCCAGTAAATAAGCTCTGTGTGCTGCCTGTGTATGGCCTCCTCACTGTCATACCTGTCCTGACTTCAGCCGTGTTTGGGAGCTGCTGATCTCGCCTCTGTGTCTGTAGTTCTTAATGATGACAGACAAACAAGAGCATATTGAATATGAATGTTAGAAAGTGCCTTTTTTCCTCCTCCTCTGTCTTCACTGTGCATGGCACAATTTATGAAGGCCACCGGCCTGAGAAATCACTCCATTAGTGCAGTCTGAGGCCGCCACCCTCTGTGGTTTCTGTGTTGGGAGGTGGCAGGACTAAGGATCTGATCTGCTCCTAGAGCAGAACCTTCTCTGTGACACAGGCCACCTGAACTCCATCTCTGCCTAGAAGGGCCTTCTAGAACATCCATGCTCACTGAATTCTCATAACACAGAACACATCACAGTGGCTCAGTAAAGTCAGAAGCCTCAGCTGATCACCACTGGGTTTGCTTTTAGAACTCAAAGCCTCACTTAGTGTCAGGTTCGCTTCTCCCCCTGACAGACACAAGGTAGCACCTTGGCATCAGCCTCAGTGACCTATTCTATTCAGGCCTCAGAACACACTGCCAGTCCTGGGCCACCTCATCACCACAGTTTAGCAACCAATTAAGCGCAAACACAACACAATCCCAACTAGACAATCTTCCCATTAAAAATGAGTCCTTTTAGAGCCCAAAGACTTCCACGGCTGAGTGCAGCTTGAGCAACTCCCTGGAAAATGACACAGTAACAAGCAAAGGGAAAAAAATGTTTCAGCAGTGATCCGACAGAGGCTAACAGGCAAGATCCTAAATCGAATATGTCACATTCAGGCAATCGCAGCCACTTGTGATTAGTGTGAAGCAAGACAGTAACAAGCTAAAGAGCCCACATGAAGCTAAAGTAAGTGGAGGACAAATGAAGCCTAGCCAAAATGAAAATGAAGACAACTCAATCAGCATAGGTCTCCTGTGTGGCCAGCACTCTGTGCTCTGTAACCCTGGCTTGGACTCACTGTCACTCTGCCCTCAGCTTTGGCCCCAGGCACTCTCCCCTAAACTTGTCTTCTGCAGCCGCCACCCCCTCCCCCAACAACACCAAAGCCTGTATTGGGACTCTTGACCCTCTTGAGCTTGGCTTGTAGCACAATGAGGTTCCCTCATTGTGGCTTTGGCTCTCATCTGCCCTCTCCAATTCCTCCTACATGAAACATTGAATGGAATTGCCCATGTGTTGACAGTACCTCATCTCTCACAGACCAAGACTACGTTTCTGCATTAGCTACCAAACTCTCAAAGCCTCTCTGAAGGGGCTAAAGAGACAGCTCAGTAGTCTAAAGCACTTGCTACTCTTGCAGAGAGCCTGAACTCAGTTCCCATCATACACACGGTGGTTCACAACCATCTTTAATTCCACTTCTAGGGGATCTAGTGTCCTCTTCACGTGGTGCACAAACATGCATTCAAAAGTTGACTTTGGGAACAAAAACAGAATCTATTCTCTCTATAAGGATGTTCTTCATTGACTTTACTGGACACATGCAACTCAAACACAATTTAATCATTTCTAGTGTTCCAAACCAAATCATGAAGAAAAGAAAGATATCTTCCTTGAAAGAGGCTTCAGGGTCTCAAACTCTGTTTCCTTCTGGCAAGATGCAGCATATGCTGACAATATAGAAGGACATAGACCCAGCAGCAAGGGTCACCACTTGCCTGGACTAAGAGCACCTGTGCCAGGGTGCCAGCTCCTATAGATCAGCAATAATAACACAGGAGGCTTCTGTCCAGAGCATTCTATTTTTTTTCTGCTCTTATTTTTTCTTTTTTTAATTAAATTTTTATTTTTATATTAATTACAGTTTATTCATTTTGTATCCCAGCTGTAGCCCCCTCCTTTAATCCCTCCACATCCCACCCTCCCTCTCTTCTCTCCTCCCATGACCCTCTTCAAGTCCACTGATAGAGGAGGTCCTCCTCCCCTTCCATCTGACCCTAGTTTATCAGGTCTGATCAGGACTGGTTGCATTGTCCTCTTCTGTGTCCTGGCAAGGATGCTCTCCTCTCAGGGAAGGTGATCAAAGAGCCAGCCATTGAGTTCATGTCAGAGGCAGTCCCTGTTCCCCTTACTAGGATACCTACTTGGAAACTGAGTTGCCATGGGCTATATCTGTGCGGGAGTTCTAGGTAATATCCATGAATGGTTCTTGGTTGGAGTATCAGCCTCAGAAAAGACCCCTGGGCCCAGATTTTTTGGTTCAGTTGCTCTCCTTGTGGAGCTCCTATCCTCTCTAGGTCTTACTATCTCCCCCTTCTTTCCTAAGATTCGGTGCACTCTGCCCAAATTGTGGTTATGAGTCTCAGCATCTGCTTTGATACACTGCTGGGTAGAGTCTTTCAGAAGCCCTCTGTGGTAGGCTCCTGTCCTGTTTCCTGTTTTCTCCTTCTTCTAATGTCAATCCCATTTGTCTCTCTAAGTGAGGATTGATCATCTTACCCAGGGTCCTCCTTCTTGCTTAGCTTCTTTAGGTGTACAGATTTTAGTATGTTTATCCTATATTATATGTCTAATCTCCACTTATAAGTGAGTATATACGGTGTGTGTCTTTCTGCTCTGGGATACCTCACTCAGGATACTTTTCTAGATCCCACCATTTGTCTGCAAATTTCATTATTTCCTTGTTTTTCATTGCTGAGTAGTGTTCCATTGTGTAAATGTACCATAATTTCTGTTCCATTCTTCAGCTGAGGGGCATCTCAGTTGTTTCCAGGTTCTGGCTATGACAAATAAAGCTGCTATGAACATGGTTGAACAAATGTCCTTGTTGTGTACTTGAGCATACTTCGGATAGCTGCCTAGGAGTAGTATAGCTGGATCTTGAGGTAGCACTATTCTTAATTGTCTGAGAAAGTGCCAGATTGATTTCCAAAGTGATTGTACAAGTTTACATTCTGACCAGCAATGGAATAAGGTTCCCCTTTCTCCACATCCTCTCCAACATGTGTTGTCACTTGGGTTTTTTATCTTAGCCATTCTGATGAGTGTAAGGTAAAATCTCAGGGTTGTTTTGATTTCCATTTCCCTGATGGCTAAGGATGTTGAGTGTTTCTCTGCCATTTGATATTCCTCTACAGAGAATTCTTTGTTTAGTTTTGTTCCCCATTTTTTAATTGGATTACTTTATTGTTGCTTTTTAACTTCTTTAGTTCTTTATATATACTGGATATTAGCCTTCTGTCAGATATAGGGTTGGTGAAGATCCTTTCCCAGCCTGTAGGCTGTCATTTTGTTCTGATGCTAGTGTCCTTTGCTTTACAGAAGGTTTTGAGTTTCATGAGGCCCCATTTATTGACTGTTGCTCTTAGAGCCTGTGCTGCTGGTGTTCTGTTCAGGAAGTTATCTCCTGTGCCAATGAGTTCTAGGTTCTTCCCCACTTTTTCTTCTAACAGATTTAGTGTGCTTGGTTTTATGTTGAGGTCTTTGATCCACTTGGACTTTAGTTTAGTTTTGTGCAGGGTGATAAATATGGATCTATTTGCATTTTTCTGTATGTAGACAGCCAGTTAGACCAGCATCATTTGTTGAAGATGCTATCTTTTTTCCATTAAATGGTTTTGGCTTCTTTGTCAAAAATCAAGTATCCATAGGTGTGTGGATTTATTTCTGGATCTTCTATTTGGTTCCATTGATTCACCATTTCAGTTTCTATGCCAATACCATGCAGTTGTTATTACTATTTCTCTGTAGTGCAGGTTGAGATCAGGGATGGAAATAACTCCAGATGATCTGTTGTTGTACAGGATCATTTTGGCAATTCTGGGTTTTTGTTTTTCCATATGTAGTTGAAAATTTTTCTTTCAAGGTCTGTAAAGAATTGTGCTGGTATTTTGATGGGAATTGCATTGAATCTGTCTAGAGCATTCTTAAAGGTTGG